ATTTTCTTGCATTTAGTTTCTGAGCCTTTAGGAAAAAGAAAAGGAGTACTTGCGGCACCTTAGAAACTAACCAATTTATTTGAGCATAAGCTTTCATGAGCTACAGCTCACTTCATCGGATGCATACTGTGGAAAGTGTAGAAGATCTTTTTATACACACAAAGCATGAAAAAATACCTCCCCCCACCCCAATCTCCCGCTGGTAATAGCTTCTCTAAAGTGACCACTCTCCTTACAATGTGTATGATAATCAAGGTGGGCCATTTCCAGCACAAATCCAGGGTTTAACAAGAACGTCGGGGGGGGGGGGGGGTAGGAAAAAACAAGGGGCTAAGTCATTATGCAAGGTAACCTATTTCCCCTTGTTTTTTTCCTACCCCCCGCCCCCACCCCGACGTTCTTGTTAAACCCTGGATTTGTGCTGGAAATGGCCCACCTTGATTACCATACACATTGTAAGGAGAGTGGTCACTTTAGAGAAGCTATTACCAGCAGGAGAGTGGGGTGGGGGGAGGTATTTTTTCATGCTTTGTGTGTATAAAAAGATCTTCGATGCTTTCAACAGTATGCATCCTATGAAGTGAGCTCTAGCTCACGAAAGCTTATGCTCAAATAAATTGGTTAGTCTCTAAGGTGCCGCAAGTACTCCTTTTCTTTTTGTGAATACAGACTAACACGGCTGTTACTCTGAAACCTGAGCCTTTAGGGTTCATTCAGATTCGATTTTCAAGCTCTTCTCTTTGACCGTGGGGGTTAGAAACGTCCATTCTTTTTTAAATTAAAGCTCAGATTCTCACCTAAGCACAGGACTCCAGGAGCTGGGACTTTGAATAAGGCACCCAGTATCACCAGGCTCGTGGTAAATGTTGAAACGTGATTGAGAGTTGGCAACACGCCTCAAACCTGACCCACAGCCATTCTCCTCCACTTTCCCTCCCCCACCATTCAAGTCCTGGCACCCAAAACAGCTCTGCCAATGTCCATCAAACCTGACCTGCGGCCCCCATCTCCCACTAGAGCTCTGGGCTCCCCACACAGCTTTGCCAGTGCACTGTAGGCCTGCAGTTTTCCCCCCTCCGCCCCTTTGCTATTGCAGCCCCTAGCTCCTTTTGTCCAGCATCTGCCAGCGCATGCTGAATTGCATTGTGGTTTTGTGGTGGAGATGAATGTGAAGTGTGTGTGTTTGGTGGGGGGAGAGAAGTTGCTACATCCCCACACACATCCTCTTAAAGACAGGAAGCTGCACCCAGCTGATTCTGCATTCTCTATGTACAAGGCTGGTTCCAAAACAGGTCTGGTCCACACTAAACACTCTTGATGGTATGGCAATGCCGGTTCAAGTGTGATTTATGATTCTAACTGGCAGAAGCCCTAATGTGTAGGTAGGTTAAAAAAAATGCTTCTGCTGGTATTGCTTATTTCATTCACCAACCATAAGTAAGGCTCCGTGATTGTCACAGAGGTTGCAGAAGTCATGGAATCCGTGACTTTCAGCGACCTCTGTGACTTCTGCAGTGGCTCCTGTGGCTGATCACAGGGCCACCCAAGCAGCTGCCCTGGGAACAGCTCCTCGGGCGGCGCTGGGGACAACCACACCGGCTGCTGCTGGAATGGCTCTGCAGCCAGCTGCACCAGCCACTGCTCTGTCAGCCCTGGGCAGCGGGCCCCTGTAACTGCCCGAGCAGCACCTGATGTGACTTGTCCTAGGGACCGCCTGAGCAGCAGTCCCAGGGGGTAGTGGGAACAGCCACAGCTCAACGGCTCCCAGCAACAATCTTGGGGCGGCCAGAGCACTGGCTGGCCCCGGGGCTTCCCCCCCCTGCAGCGGTGGCCAGATCGGCAGCAGGCTTCCCGGGGCTCCCACCAAGGCAGCGGTGGGAGCGGCAGCACACCCTCCACAGTGCTCCCCCCTCACAGCGTCCCTCCCCCTCTAAGATTCAGTCAAGGTATTTATGGTATAAGTCATGGACAGGTCACGGCCTGTGACTTTTTATTTCTTGCCCGTGACCTGTCCATGACTTTTACTAAAAATACCGATGACTAAATCATACCCTTAAACATAAGGGTTACCAGAAATGGCACTTTGATGCTGGTATAAGCTGCAAACCTCTCCCTGCGTAGACATGTCCTTAGTGTTTACCTGTAAGGTGAAAGGAGGGGAGGGTGCAGGCAAGGTGTCAGATAAGTTGCAGAAGGAATCCAAGGTCAGTTGAAAAACAAAGAACAAAATAAGCAAAAATCAAGGAAACTAGAGAAGAACAATTTCCCACCAGAGTCTGATCCTGTGTTTTCTGAATGTGCTCCACAGCTGGGACTGAGGGTGGAGTGGAGTGGAGCAGAGCAGTCGTGGTGGCTGAATCAGCTGGTTGAAGAGACATTTTGAGTACAGAGCAGAAATGTCCTAAAACAAATTGATATAAGAGCAGGGGTCTCAAAGACGCGGCCCACGGGTTGCATGTGGCCCGCAGGGTTATTTTCTGCAGCCTGTCAGCTCCCCATGGCCCCCCGCCCCCCCAGCATTTACCTAGAGTGGCTCTGGCCCGGCGCGCACGGGGGGGCAGGGAAGGCTCCCTGCCTGCCTGCCCTGCCCCCGCACCGCTCCGGGAAGTGGCCGGAACCTGAGGGGAGGGCACAGGGGTCTGTGCAGTGATCAGTGGACTAATATCTAATCTGGAACAGCTGGGGGTGTTCGCTTTACCCTAGCGAGTGCTGGGAGCTGGCTAAAGGGGAGGTTGTGTAGTGCCAGCTGTGGGGGGGAGATGTCTGACAAGCTCACAACCAATGGATGTGTCATTGGGGCCCAACATGGGATAGCAGGGGCTGCAGGTCTGCAGTGAGCTGCCCAAGCAGGGATATGGACTGGAGTAGCAGGGGGAGCTGTGGGTCAGGACTGAGGAGCATTGACGGGGCTGAGTGGGGCCCAAGACTGGAACTGAGAAGGGGCTGCAGTGCTGAAATGAGGTGCCACTGGCCCCTGGCACTTGCAAGATGCACTCTGGGTGAAATCCTGGGTGCCTAGCTTATTTCCCAGCATCCCTCACCATGCTGGCCAGGGGCCTAAGTGGTGTCATTGCATCAACTTCGGTGGAGTTAGGCTCACTTTGTCCCAGGAGGAATCTGGCCCTCTATATACTGTTTACAGATTTCTGCTGATGCTTTGTGTAACATCCTCCGGCCAAGGGGAGATTAAGTCTCCAGAGCTTCACACACATGATCTGCAACCTGGCTTTGGAATGGTTCCTCTTCTCATCTGCTTATTGGCCAGTGGAAAGCATCATTGTACTGGGACCAGGTCGGCCATGGGGAGTGAGAATGCTGTTGAGAATATCTCCACCTTTCCAATATCCTGCTGCAGATCTCTCTCTCTCTCTCTCTCGCACACACACTCTTGCACACACACAGCCGTCTGACAGCCAGCTCATTTGTAACTATTGTTAAATTGGGAAAATCAAGTGTTTCTGGCTGGTGTTGGGGTTTAAACCCTCTCTCCTGCGCTGCCTGGACAGGACATGTTTCTGTCCCGCCTCTTCTTTATCCAATGTGCTGTTCACAGCTTTCAGCACCTGCAACTGTGACATCCATGGATCATAGCCAGAATGGTACCAAGAGTCCTGGAGCTGCGAGGGCCTGACAAGCAACCCCAAAAGCCCGAGGTGAGGCAGGTCTGGTCCTTTCATGAAGCAGGACCCAGCCGACAGGCAGGGGAGATGTTAGATTGCTCTGTGGGGTACGTTTGCAAAAGCTGGCCTTGTGGGAACTAGTTCAGTGGTTCCCATGGTTCCTACTGACCAGGTATCAGTTCTTTAACTATTTATGTGCTGCCGAGTACTGCTCGAGAAATATCCTCCATCTAGTCCTGTTAATTTGTGATACTGAGGCGGTTGTATAACCCTCCCGGCTGGATATGCCATCATGGGTGGCACAGCAGGAGTTACAGGCGAGCACTAGGACTTGCAGTGTGTGTGAACAACTCTGGGTACACAGGTTCATGCTTCCTTGGAAATCCTTGGAGTGAGTTTTGGAAGGCCTGCTCTTGATGTGGTAGTTGCTAGATGGGGTTGCTGCGTCTATGGGTGGAGAGAGAGCTATGATTTGTGTCAGTGATCCATCAGTTTTATCCCACAAAGTTTAGTGCTTAAAACCCTGTGGGATGCTGGGGAGAATGGGCACTGTGAGGAGCTTAGCCTGCAGACAGCTGCGTTGCTTGGACCAGAGGTGAGAGTTGGTTCAAACTAATGGAAACCAGAGTCCAAGTTCTGCTCCTAGTTACATTTGTGTGGATCCAGAGTAACTCCATTTATTTTAGTGAAGTTACTCTGGAGTGATTCTTATGTGAGAAAAAGTAACATTTAACTCTAGATTTGTAATATTCTGCTGCGCCGTCTTATTAAGCTTTGGAACTCCTTGCAGCAGGCTCCTGGGAACCCTTTGGCCAGCGTGACCATTTCATTTTTCCTTTCTCAAGTATTGCCAGACCACCAGTGCTGTTTGCACGCTAGACATTTGGATCAAGCTCGTCTTTCTCTCTGGTTGAAGCCCTTCATGTTTCTTTTTCTTTCTTTTTACTTTCCCATCTCTCTTGGACACAGGCCCCACCTGCTGTCTGGGCTAGAATGAGCTCCACTGATGTTTACTACTGAGCTGGCCAGCAGGGATCACTGTGGAGCTTCCTCCTGAGAGCTGGGAGTGCCGCTTTCCCAGCACTCCTGGACCTTGCCTCCCCAAGGGCAGTGATGTTCAGCAATCCCAGCTCTCCAGCTTGGTGCTGGCTCTCCGACCAGCTCTGTTCACAGGAGAGGCATCAATAGCGTGGCCAGAAAGTGTATCTTGAGGCTGAGGGGTTCAGCAGAACACAGCAAGAGCCACCAACGGTCCCTGAGCACATAGGGGATCATCATGGATACACTAGGAAGTTCCAGATGGGCTCATCTCCCACAGAAGGGCGTGTTGCAGGGCCTCCAATGCTGTCCCTAACCCTGGTCTGTGCTTTGCCCTGATAGGCCGTCGTGTATCCATCAAACACTGTGACCGAGGACATCTACACCAACGGCTCAGCCATGCTGGGCAGCCCGGCTCACATGAACAGCCGGGAGGTGCGCAAGATCCGGCTGGTCCAGTTCGAGAAGGTCACCGAGGAGCCCATGGTGAGCTGGCAAGAGTTTGGTAACCCTTAAGGCCCCAGGGGTCAGGGTGAGTCCCACCAGTGCATTGGCATGCATAGTGGGAGTGACAATCCAGTCCAGCTCCCAGGTCTGTGGGTGGGGTAGGGACGATCTTGAATTTTGCAGACTTCAACCAGACTATTGCCTGTTCCACTGGGACAAAGGTGCTGCTTTGGCCAGTGCCCCACTAGGAGCCTGAGGGGAGCTGCACAGGGCATAGTGGGACTGGGAGGAAGCTGCATCGGCTGTTGATTTATTCTGCCAAGAGGAAATTAACCTCGCTGGAATTGAGCCAGGAGAGGACTCTGAGAAGTGAGACAGACCATCTTGGATACCGGCCAGGCAAGGCCTTTACCTGGAGAAGTGGGTGTCTACCCTAGATATGTAATAGTCACAGATTTTCCTGTTTTCCAGGGAATCACACTGAAATTGAATGAGAAGCAGAGCTGCATGGTGGCCAGGATTCTCCATGGAGGCATGATACATAGACAAGGTAACAGCAAATGGCAGGAATATGAAGTCATCTTTGACTGAGACCTAGACACACAAGGCTTCTGTTTAGTCAGAGATTTTAGCCCTTTCCTTCCACCCTGGTGCTGGGTAGGGCCTGTTAGTTTCATCTTTGGAACTGGGCAATTTCAGTGCAAAGGGATTAAACAGTTCCATGGTGCCGGTGAATTTTCCCTTTGATTTATATCATCGGTGCCCTTCCTGTACCTCTTGTATCCCCTCCATCTGCTCTTTACATGTGGCTGCTGCATTAACGCCCTGGAGGTTTCAGGAAGTTCTCTGCTGGGAAAAGTGGGAGGGGAGATGGGGCAGGAGCAGTCACTAAGCTCATGCCTGCAAACAGAACCAGAAATCATTTGTGTTCATCTCACTGGATTCTTTGCCACTCCATGTGGATCAGATCCTACAAATTTTGAAGGACATTTTTTTCCATTGCTAAAATGCACAAACAAGGCAGAATTTCTGTGCCAATGACCTGCAAACAAAAAGAAAAGGAGTACTTGTGGCACCTTAGAGACTAACCAATTTATTTGAGCATGAGCTTTCATGAGCTACAGCTCAAGACTAACACGGCTGTTACTCTGAAACAAAAAGAAGTTGCCAAAGTAAATGAACTTGCACCATTTCCTTTTTTTTTTTTTTTCCTGGCACCTGCAGATGGTGTGGTGGCTACATGCAAAATAGATGTCCTGTACGTACAAAAGGAGTGCCCTTCGATGGCCTTGGGTCCAGTTAGAGGGCTTTATAGGTCCATGTTGAAAACAAGAGCCTGATCCTGATCTAGCACCAGAATAAGTCAAGACCAACTCCAGTGATGTCACTGGAGTGTTGGCTTATCCCTGTGTATCTGAGATCAGAATCCAGCCTTCGTTACCTGTACAGACATCTAAAACGAGTATCGGGGGTAGCTGGGTTAATCTGTATCCCCAAAACAACAGGGAGTCCGGTGGCACCTTAAAAACTAACAGATTTATTTGGGCATAAGCTTTCGTGAGTAAAAAACCCACCACTTCTGCATCTGAAGAAGTGGGTTTTGTACCCACAAAAACTTATGCCCAAATAAATCTGTTAGTCTTTAAGGTGCCACTGGACTCCCTGTTATCTAAAAAGAGAGCACTTAAGGTAGAGAATGTTTATATACTTGGTTCTGCAATGAGGTTACCATTCAGCTTTACATTACATATTGGCTAACATTGTGGATACCACTAAAATAGAATGCTTTTACTGCAAGCTAAACTACAGAATGCAAGATCAAAGGCTAGTATTAATGGCTTTAGTTTTTGATCAATTTTTAAAAAATATAACAGAAAGGAGTGTGCATGGAGGGAGCGAAGCTGTGTTCCCCTCATGTATGTATTTCACATGTATGTGCACTGATACACACCATGTCTCCCTGGTAGAATCATGCTAAATGAGCCAATCTGGATGTAAAATGGCAGGAGATGGTTGCATGCTGCAAAGCAACTATGCCTATGCATTGTGAATGCAAAAGCCATTTGGTCTGAGATTCGCAAACAGGCTTGCGATCCAGAATTTTTTGGGGGTTGTATTTTGCCTGCTTGTGCATTTCATGGGTTCGTTTCTCCTGTCACCGGCAGGCTCCCTTCATGTGGGTGATGAGATCATAGAAATCAATGGGCAAAGTGTGAGCAACCACTCGGTCGACCAGCTGCAGAAGATGCTGGTAGGTATTTTGGGAGGCTGCTCCTGAGAAATGACCCATTTGGCCACATAACACACATGTTGCCTGATTTGATTGTATTCATTCTTAATATGCAAATCACGACAGATCTTGCAACACCTCCTGCACTACGAGGAACTATTGTTGTTCCCCTTTCTACTGGAGCCTCATCAAAGGCCAGGTCACTTCTCAAGTGCAGGCCATCTCCGCTCAGAGCACTGGACGGGGCTGTGCATGCAGAGCCCATGGTGGGGCTTGGGTTGCTCGGTTGTCTTTTTAATTTAAAATTGCCCCCATGCAGTCAAACCAGAATCCCCCCTCTGCCATGGGAGCTAGGGGGATGGTGCTCAGTCAGGCTCTGATTTCCAGCTGCTAGGGCCACAATTGTCCTCTTGCACCATTCAGTAGATGGTCACCTAGCTTCAGAGAAGGACCTCTCTCAGGGTACCCTGAGCACTCACTTTGTCCATGGTTAAAACTCTAGCCTGTCAGACCTGTTAGAGGTGCTAAGGAGTCACTCATCCCCTTCCTGGAAGGAGCAGGAAAGGGCTGTCTGGAGTTTGTGGATTATTCGAACACCACCAGTCTCAGCCTCTGATCCACAGAAGCTCCCATCCCTCTCCCTGCTTTCCTGAACTGGTTCATAAGGCAATGGCAATACGGAGGGTGGGCAGGTCTCAAGGGTTGGGAGAAGAATTAGTTCAAATTGCCCTCCTCTCCCCAGGCTGGTCTGTCAGTGCCCCATAGCCCCGAACCCTCTCTGTGGCTGGAGAGATGGGGTGAATTTAATTCTCTCTCCTAGTTCATTCTGGTGACCCTTTTAAAGCTACAAGAGGATCAAAACCCCGCTCTGTGTGGCCACCTAGATGCAGCTCTAGGCCCGAGTTAGTTAAGTTAGCCACTGTGGCTTCAACAGTGCAAAAGCCTTTAGCCACAGTGATTCTGGCTCTGGTGAGCTCCCATCAGCTCTTCGCTCCCCTGTTGCTTATTGCCACCATGGCTCCAGATTCCCAGCTCTCTGTAGGTTTCCCGGCACCAGTGGGGAGTGCCTGTGCACCCGGAGGTTAATGATACACTGGGGGCCTTGAGCTGGTTTCTGGGTTGATCTAGAAGCCACATTCTCCAACTCTTCTCTCTTCCCCTTCCTTCTATCCACTAGAGAGAAGCCAAGGGGACGGTCTCAATAAAAGTCATCCCCAACCAGCAAAGCCGCCTCCCTGCTCTACAGGTAGGTGCAGCTGTGTTCTCTCAGTGGCCCTGCAGACCAGATGTCTTTGAGCTGGTGAAAAGTCACCGGGGTGTCACGGGGTTGGGGTGCGGGTTCAGTGGGCTGAACTGCTCTACTACACTGATGTAAACCCCACACAGGTAAATAGAGGTGTTCTGCATTTACATGGGGGAAAGGAGAGCAGCATTTACCCAGTCTGAGGGTCTGTCTGCCCTGCAAAGTGAAGATGTGATGGTAGCACAGGTGGGCATACCTGTGCCAGCTTAAATCTAGCTAGCGCGGGTAACATTAGCCATGTAGACGTGGTCACACAGGCTGCAGCCCCACACCCTGAGGACAAGATGGTCAGGGAGCCTGGTTTGTACTCTGGCTGCTAGCCCACTCTGAGCCTGTGTCACCGTGGCTACGCGATCATTGTTACCCATGGCTGCTACATTAAAGCCAACCCGTGCTACAATCACACCTTGTCTTGCAGTGTAGACAGACTCTGTATAACACTGCGCAGCATGACCCCTCTCTGTGCCTCAGTTTCCCCATCTCTAAAAAGGGGACAGCAATATTTACTTCCTGTGTTAAGCGGTTTGAAAGGGAGCTCGGTAGGTACCAAGGGCTGGACTCCACTCTCAATTCCATGGATGCGATTCCCATTGGCCTCAGGGGTGGTGGGGCTAGACTGCAAAGACCCTTTGCAGACATGGGCTCCTGAGCCTGCAGCATCCAGTCTGCTCTTTGGCTGGAGGAGAGAGTGACAGACTCTGCCCTGTGTTGTAATGCCTTAGCCTCCTTGGTGAAATGCTGTCACTCTGCAGTCAGGCTGGGTCGCAGCATTTCTGCCACCACGGGGGTGCTGATGTGATAGTCGGAAGGAAACGGGGGTGGCGGGAAAGCAGAGCAGAACACCCCAGCTCTTGGCTATGCAACCACACTGCCATTGCCATATCAACAGAAGTGCATGTTTTTATGAGGCTCCTGTGCTCAGCACAGGGATTCAGAAGCCAGGGCTGGTCCATTCATCTCGCTCATTTGGCTTCTGGAGATGAATGAGGCCAGAGGGAAGAGGGGGCTGGCTAGGATTGATGGGTCCCAACTCATTCCAAGAGGATACAGTTTCCTCCCTTCTTATAGCTACTTGAGCTTTTCTTGTGGCTTAATCTAGGAGCAACTCACTGCCCCCCAATATCTCTAGGGCATGAAACCTGTCACAGATGGCACCAATCATACATGTGTGATACCAGCTATACAGGCTAACAGAATCTATCTAGTTACAGATGGCAAAAGTGTATCTCTTCCATGCAAAGAGTCTAAACTAATTCATCCCAGCAGAGTGCTAGTTATTCCACACAAAAACTGCTTTTCGAGGTGGCGATTGTGTCTCCAGTGATTCGATCTCTTTCACATCCCATACGTTTAAATTGCAGGAGTTAACATAACATTTTCCCTCTCTCTGATCTCAAGTTAGTTCAGTAAAACTAGCAACATGAAACACCCTGATCTGACTCTATGCCACCATTTGCACAGAGCCAAATATTCTGCTCAGGCAGATTCTCCTTAAAAAGGATGATTGGGTGAAGTTAATTTAAAAAAATAACATATGTGGCCCTGGAGCCATTCTGCCCCCCTTTTCTGTATTTCATCTTTATTCTTCCTTTATCACATATCTCCCATTGGAGTTGGTTTCTCTAAGCAATGAGGTGAAAGACGAATATCTCCTCCTCCCCATCTCTCCCCTTCATCTCTGTTGCTACCAGGATGAGCTCTGATCTCTGCTTATTTATTAAGCTCTGTCCTCTTTTCCCCTCTCTAGTTAGAGACTTACCCTAGCTGACGCTGTGGAAACCAGCTGTAGTGCCACTGACTTAATAACAGACATGTGCAGGCACCTCTGCTGAGAGGGGACACCAGGGCAGTGTCTTGCACGTGCTAACCGGTGTCAAGGACCCAAACCCTCCTCACTGAGGCATTGTTCCCCAGAAGACTGAAATTTTCTTCCCTCTGTGTGAGGTTGAAAGCGTGGCTCTTTCACCAACAAGTTACTCAAATAAAAGATATTCCCTCCTCCCCCCCCCTTTGTCTCTCTCATTTCTCCCTTATATCATTTTGGCTAGGTTCTGGAGCAGTCTATGCCAATAAACGGCCATGCACACATGCTCTTGCTGCCTTTCCTTGTGACATTTCAGTGCTAGGAAGCCTAATGACTTCAATTTTGCCTGCCCATTGTGATCAATCTCTCTGTCCTTCACGGTTGCTATCACTTCACAGATAGGGTTACAAAGTGTGAAGCAAATCCCATCACTTTTTCTGGAGCTAAACCATCCCTTCCCAGCCCCTGCCCAAGCTCCTCCCCCACATCTTGTAAACAGCCAACCCCAAGCAGAGCAATTAGTTTGCACCAATTAGACTGCTGTTTAGAGATTGCGAGGGTGGTTCCATTCTGAACTAAACCACCATGAATGATCTGAATGGGAGGATAAGAGCAAACAGGTCCCACCTGTTGTAACCTCATAACCAGAGCTAGAGGCAAGCTCTGAAATTCAGACTTGGCCTAGATTTCAAACTCCACCACTGGGATTTGGGTTACACCTCTGGGGGAGACAGGACCAACATGCAGTTCAAATCTGGATTTCACTTCCTAGATTCCAAGGACAGAAGAGACTATGTGATCGTCTACTCTGACCTCCTGCATAATGCAGGCCAGAGAACTGCCCCAAAACAATTCCTGTTTGAACAAGGGCCCTGATAATGTTTGAGGTGTTTAGATCCAGTGCTCTGATTTAGGCCCACTTTGCAATTCGGTTATTTCAAAAGCAGAATTAAATATCTCTCCACACACACCCCATCCCCTCATCTTTGGACAACTGGGAGTTCTGAGAGCTGGGAGGTTCAGCCCCATGTGACATTCCCCATGGTACAATCTGGACTGCTGAAATGCTGTGTCCCCGTAACTTTTTAGCCTGAGTTGCCTTTTACACAGTCACTCCTCACCTGCTCATGCATAGCCACTGGCATGTAAAATCACTCCCAGATGTATATCTGACTGCTCTCCTACCATCCATGAATAAATACAGGGTGATACTGCATATCTCCCCAGAACTGTGCATTTTATGCTGCTTGGTAGACCCCCGGATAGTATAAGCTCATAGATAGTCTGACATTCTAACAAAGGGTAATATTTATGCACCAGCCTTTGTTATCCCAAGTAGAGGTTTCCCAAACACTTCAAACACACTGGCTTAGATAAAAAAATTAAATATGTTTATTTAACTAGAGAAATATTTTAAGTGATTATAAGTGATAAGGGATAAAAGTTAGAATTGGTTACAAAAGAAATAAAAAGTTAAAATTAAGCTAATTTCCCTAAACTTTACCAAGGTAAATAAGATTAGAGGCAAATATCATTCTCATTGTGCCAGATGCTGCAAGTAATTCTCAGTTCACAGACTTGATTTCCTTTCAGCCTGGGACCGCTTCCCTTAATTCAGTGTTCTTCAGGTATCCATTGTTGTTATGAGCAGAGAGATGTAAGGTGACAAGGAAAGGTAATTTGTGTGTTGTTTGGTCTCCTATCCTCCAAAGTACTTGCAACCCCTCTCAGCTTGGTATCATCTGCAAACTTTTTCCCCTTCTTTGAGGATTGCCCCCAGCTGGGAGTCAGGCGACAATCTGTTTACGCGGGACCTCCAATTGTTTTCCAGTGCTAATATGTAAAGTTCTTGCTTATACCTTCCTTCCTGCCAAAGGATGGCTGCTTATCTAGGTGACAGTCCCTGATGGTTCATTTGATTATGATGATACTTCAGTGTGTCTTTCTCTCTCAGAAACTAGTTTGTAGGCATTACCCAGAACTACAACATATTTCAGTAATAATCCACAGAGCAAAATCTCATAATTTGACATGCAGTGATGTTACACATATTTCAAAGAGATGATAATATTCAGCAGATTGAGTTTTCAAACAAGGTATACTTTGTACAAAATATTTTATAGCCATATAAAAGTAGTGAACATGGGGTACAGGGTGTCACAACCTGCTGAGCTCTTATATTAACAAGAGATTGGCCAATGTCACTGGTATTTCACAGGCTCTTCTCAGGTTGGTCCATCCAAATTTTGACAAATGGAAGGGGCTGTACTAGCGAATCTGGAGTCTGGGAGCCTCACTTGCAGGGGCAGTTGGACCCTTTATGGTCTTTAATGCTGAGATGTGGCTCACAGAGTCTTCAAGTCCCAGCATGCAATACTCCATCTTGATCCCCAGCACTCTGGCCTTCTGGCAACAAAGGGATACTGTGTACTACGTGCTGGGACCTGTTATCTCACAGGCCACAGCTCCATAGTAAAAGTGAGGACAGTCATGGACAGTACTTTGCCAACCCCTATTTTAATATGTTGCAAAGAAAGTCTGGTTTATCCTGCTCAGGAAGAAAGATCTCCAAGGCCCTGCTCGTCAAGAGCTCTGATCTGGCAGGGTCTAAAGATGGGACAAAAAAGAATATTTTACTCCAGACATCATGTGGGAGTAGCTTCTTTTCCAAGCATGAATTGCACTGTTCTCTGCTTCCACATCAGAGAATCGTAGAAGTGTAGGACTGGAAGGGACCTCATAGGTCTAGTCCAGTCTCCTGCACTCAAGGCAGGACTTCGTAATAACTAGGTCATCCCTGACAGGTGTATCTGTTCTTAAAAAGCTCCAGTGATGGAGTTTCCACAACCTCCCTAGGCAATTTGTTCCAGTGCTTAACTATCCTGACAGTTAGGAAGTTTTCCATAATGTCCAACCTAAACCTTCCTTGCTACAATTTAAGCCCTTTGCTGCTTCTCCTGTCCTTGCTGGATAAGGAGAACAATTTATCACCCTCCTCCTTATAACAACCTTTTATGTACTTGAAACTGTTATCATGTCTCCCCTCAGTCTTGTCTTCTCCAGAATAAACAAATCCTTTTTTTTTCCCCCCAGTCTTCCCTCAGAGGTCGTGTTTTCTAAACCTTTAATCATTTTTGTTGCTCTTCTCTGGACTATATCCAATTTGTCCACATCTTTCCTGAAATGTGGTGCCCAGAGATGGACACATTACTCCAGCTGAGGCCTAATCAGCACGGAGTAGAGCAGAAGAATTACTTCTCGCGACTTGCTTACAACTCTCCTGCTGATACATCATAGAATGATGTTCACATTTTTTGCAACAGTGTAACACTTTGACTCATATTTAGCTTGTGATCCACTATGACCCCTAGGTCCCTTTCCTCAGTACTCCTTTATAGGCAGTCATTTCCCATTTTGTATGTGTGCAGCTGATTGTGCCTTCCTAAATGGAGTACTTTGCATTTGTCCTTATTGAATTTCATTCCGTTTCTTTCAAAATGCTTCTCCAATTTGTCCAAATAATTTTGAATTTTAATCCTATCCTCCAAAGTACTTGCAACCCTTCCCAGCTTGGTATCATCCGCAAACTTTCTAAGTGTCATGGCTTTGCACTTCCAGGGCAAATAACTTGCAGCAATAACAGCTGAGTGAACTCCACACTTATGTGGAATGGAGGTAAATTTCATCTCAAACAAGCGTCCTCCCTTGGACAGTAGAGATCTCCTACTCATGGCTTTGCTGCTCAGAGATGATCATCTCTACATGCAAGCTGTAATTTATGGGGTATGCTATCACACACTTCAGGTTTTCCATGGGTTGTAGATTTAGCTACCACCACCCTTCAGCACGGTGATCAAATGTTTGGTGCCTGCAAAGCTGTCCCTCAACTGCAAAATCCCAGCTGTGCTCAGCTTCCTCTCTCAGCCAGAAAGCCCCCATGGGTGGAGCTTACCAATGATATTGCTAAAGATGTACTTCCTCATCTGCAGTTGCTCTGGGCTCTGCAATGCTCACAGAACAGACATGCCACAGGAGAGATGCAGGGAGCTGGTATGGACAACGGTATAGGACTGTACTCGCAGATTGAGCCCTTTCTATCTGTAAAGGTCCCCAGTGTTGAGCCCTCTGGGTTGCCCTGCCTGCTAAAGCCGATGTGATGGGTTTGCAAAGCTTAGGTGTGAGTTTCCTAGAGGTGGCCAGGGAGCAGCTAGAGAAGTTTACTCAGCAAAGGTAAAATCCTAGGCAAACCGCTGCTCCTGGCGAGGTGTGGACACAAAAACCCAGCCTCTGAGACCTGCTGCCTTGGGCAGAAGATGGGAGAAGATATCTGGTCATGAGGGATCAGGTCATCCCCTTCTCTGGAAACTTTTCCACTCCAGCCCCCACTCCCCAAATCAATGCTCATGCAGAGACCTTTGTGCTCAAAGACGTTCCCTGTCTGTTCTGTGGCTTCTGGCACCTGACTCCTAAGCCAGTTCCCCTGTCCCCTTGGTTCAGATAGCTGAGTCAGTGCCTGCTAGAGAGCTCTGTATGTTTGGTATATAGAGGAATTCCCCTGGTCCTGCCTGTTGTTGGCTTACTGCACTTTATCTGGCTGGCTCCAGGCCAAGTAATCCTGTCTAGGTCCTGCTCTCAGTGTCTTGCATTTAGGTTTTGGACTAGCTCTGATTGATAGTGAGAGTCTTTGCGTTGGGAGAGGGGAAATAGCGTGTGTGGAGGGACTGACCAGTGGCAGGGTGAGAACCTGAGACAACTAGACCACAAGGTCCTGATCTGCTCCAGCTCGTCCCGTATTGGAGGGACTAGAAATGGGAAGGAGAATTGGTCCTGTTTTGAAGCAATGGCTGTAGCAGTTAATGTTCAGTTCAAGACTCTGTCTTCCCTCTGCCCCGCTCATCCCACTTTTAACTACCTGTTCACCACAGTTCACCCCCAGGAGATGGTTTCTTTCCCCATTTGTGCCCCGACCTCTGGCAGCGCTTGCCTCACACTTGCTGTCTGGATTCTTAGCTTTCCCCAAGGATGATGCCATTCCTCCTTCCCCAGGAGATTCCCAGAGTCAGAGGACACGCAGTTTGCTAGGATGGCCGGGGAAGGCATGGAGTTAGATTTTGGGTGGATCTTCAGGTAGAATTAAAGCCCCTCAGACTGACTGTTGGGTTGGCCAGTGCGATTGGGGAAGTGTGTACGTAATCTAATGATTGGCATTTCTAAATGCCTGGGCCCCTTCATCTCTAGGTTGTGGCATCTCTTCTAGCTCATCAGGTCTGCAGATAAGACCTGAAAAGGGGGTCATGGACAGGGGAGACAAGATGGGGATGTGCCCTACACTTGCAGCTTAGGTTTGGGGCAGTTAATCTCTTATCCCATCTTGTATGGTCACTGCTGGGGGACGTCGCAGGAGCCGCGTAGCAGAAATGGCAGAGCCAAAAACACATGGCATTGACTGACTGACCTTTGGCTTCTTCTCCAGATGTTCATGAGGGCCCAGTTTGACTATGACCCCAAGATGGACAGCCTGATCCCCTGCAAGGAGGCAGGGCTGAAGTTCAAGACAGGGGACATCATCCAGATCATCAACAAGGATGACAGCAACTGGTGGCAGGGCCGGGTAGAAGGGTCCTCCACGGAGTCAGCAGGGCTAATCCCCTCCCCTGAACTACAAGAATGGTACGTTCCAGAGTTGCTGGTGAAAGCAGCTCGGGGGGCCGGGGGACTCCAGGCTCTGTGCACAGCTCCAAGTGCTGCATCTCCAGTATGGGAGCTGCCCAGGGGCTCGTGGCTCAGAATCCCTGCCTTGCATCCATGTGGAATATGCTTCAGAGATGAAACTGGTGTAGGTGCTGCTCCTTGGAGAAGCTGGGCCCAGCTGCTCAGTGCAGAGAGCTAGGTAGACTGTGTCTTTTGGGATGGGCTGTTGGCACCCTCTGACCTTGGCCACAGTGACCCATGGGTCTAGCCAGGTGCTACCCTGATCACCTTGGTGTGGACACTAGATCTGGCAAGGAGATACTCTCTGACCCCTTTGGTGTGAGCCCTGACTATCCTTTCCTTACTCTTGTGCATTGAGGAAATCCTGATGCTTCTGGGGGTCACTAGGTTTGGACCAAAACCTAACCTTACCTGATCTGACTCCCTCCGTCGCTCGTGTGTTTTCCCCCTTATAGGCGTGTGGCTAGTATAACCCAGTCCAGTCAGAGTGAAGCCCAGAGCTGCAGCCCCTTTGGGAAAAAGAAGAAGTGCAAAGACAAATACCTGGCCAAGCACAGCTCAAGTAAGCAGCCCCTTTCCTTGTCACAAGCCCCTGTTCGTTGCTGCTCAGGATCAGCCCTGGCAGCTGTCGCTGCAATGCACCTTCCCATCGGGCAGCAGGACAGGGGTGCTCGCAGGACTCTGGTGCTTAGAACAAGCACTGGACTCTGTGAGGTTGTTTCACTGGTTGGACAGCATATGCAGGATGCCGCAGCCTGGTGACGGGGCTGTGATCCACATGTCCTCTGCAACAGGCTCCCTGGTCATGTGAAAACTGCCTTTCCTGTGGTCTCTTAAATTCCCCCTCCTAGGAACAATGCAGTCAGAGCTGCACAGCATGGCGGTGTGCTCTCTGGTAGCTGTCTCCTTATTGGAGGCTACCACAACTACCTCCAGGGGAGCATGAGGAAAGGCATCTTGCCCCGCGCCTGGTGTTGGCTTTCTTGGAAGAGTCCCATCATGTACAAATCAGTCAGATGACCTCGAGTCATCTGGTAAATGACTCTCCATTATTTTCCCCTCTGGGGATCTCTTTACATTGTCTCCTCCTGTTTGCAAAGCAGCTTGCAAAGAGCCCGACCTGCTGGCTTTGTTTACATTGCGGCTGTGGAGTCACAACAGGTGTGGACTTGGGGTGCACACAGGAAGGAGAGAGGATTAAACACGCTGTGTTCCCCGCCTGACTGGAAGGAAAGAGCTATGTAGGAACAGCTCTGCCAGCAGCTGGTGCCAGGGGAGGCGGGGGTGCTGCCACTAGGCATTCAGCTTTGTAAGAACCATCTGTGTTTTTTTTACAGCTGTTCTAGGCCCAAGTGTGTTAGCTGGGAATGGGTGCAGAGTTAAATCCCATTTCAGGAAGGATGGGCAGAGACCCATAACTAAAGATAATGTAAAGCCTGTTGTCCTGCCAGAGGGATGGTCCCCAGCCCAGTCCTTCCTGCAGGCTCCCCCACCTGGTCTCTGCCCACTTTGCTCCCTCTGCCCTGGGATTTTGCTCTCCCAGAAGTGTAGCTCTCTGCTCTGCATTAGGAATTATGGGCCCAATTTTCCCCTGCACTGTGTGTCGTCGTTTACACTGTGCATAGTGACATCTGAGCATTGCCATGGTGCCCCAGTGACGTGTTGCACCGGGAAGCAGCTCTCTGGCTGGAATGCTCAAGAAGGGCTCAGCACCCACAGCCAGGGCCAGAGTTTGGCACAGTGGGTACATAATGGGTGCTGAGCTCCTTTAAAATCTTGGTCCTTATTTGGTGCTGAAATGTGTGCTGAGCTGCCTCAACTGTAGGAGCGGAGACCTTGGAAATCTGGCCCTGAGCTAATTTATGGCCCTCATCATCAGATGCATCAGGACAAACACAGACTCTGCACTCAGGTCCTGGCAAGTCAGAGGTTTTCAGTTCACCTCTTAAAACTTTTAACAGATCAAAAATCTGTTCCTCGATTAGGGAGAATCCTCCCTATTCACCACCTTCATCCAGGGGCCCAGCCAAGCAAAATAAACCCTGCTGGTTAAATGATTGTACTATTGAGGTTTTAATGCGCCAGGACCTGAAACTGACCCATAATAAGCCAGTGCCAACAATGCACCACAGAACTGAGTGATGGGGGGTGGAGAGTTGTGTGACCAGAGCCTGGAGACATGCTGGCACCTGGCCTGGCCTGTAGTCTGACAAACAGGGCAGTAAATCAAGGGGATAAATAAAGATCCTCACTATTCCCTCAGGGGAATAAACTAAGATCCCCATAACTCCTTCAGCTAAGAGTTAGTCTTGCAGCTTCCAATTTGGCTCCTCTGGGGTCCAGACTCCTGGGCAGAACTGAATGGGGAGAGGAGCCATTTATTTCACACCTTGTCACTACAGTTTCCCCATATTAATCCCCAAAGTATGTTACCATTTGCTGATTTCTCTCTGCGGCTGAGTTTGTAAGGGATGCAGTGTGACCTAGGAGCGAGCCTCAGGAGCAGAGCTGGGTAATTGATTTTTTTGGTACATGGGCCAAATAGAAAAATCTAAAAAAAAAATCAGATTGGTTTGAAGCAAGCCTGATTTTCTTTTTTTCTTGCCAAAACAAAAATGGGGGAAAAAATCCTTCTAGGTTCATTGCTTTGGGGTGTTTTTCATTCTTGCTCTCTCTTGCGCGCGTGCTCTTTTTATTTTATTTATTTATTTATTTATTTATTTATTGTTTAAAAAATTAGCTAAATATTGAACTGAAATGCCATTTTGGAAGGAAAAGTCCAATTATTTCATTTTCACTTTAAAAAATCTCCATTTTTTTTTCAGCCCAGACAATTCACTGAATTTGCAAATAGTTTGGTGCCCTCCAAAAGGCAAGTCACTTCCCCTCTCTGTGCCTCAGTTTCACCATATTTAAAAAGGGGCTAATGATACTGACCTTTGTAAAGTGGTTTGAGATCTACTGAAGCAAAGTGCAATATGAGAGCGATGTGTTGGTGGCGGTATTATATACCGATGCCAATATGTCCCAGTGGCCTTGGACAGGGATGTGCCCTGATTTTGCATCTGGACTGATTCTGATCCTCTCTTGAATCCATTTCCCTTCTCTCCCCCCAGTTTTTGACCAGTTGGATGTGATTTCATATGAGGAGGTGGTGAGGCTGCCAGCCTTCAAGAGGAAGACCCTGGTGCTGATAGGTATGGCCCTGCCCTCTATGTACATGTTGTGCTTTTCTGGCCATTGTCCCTCTCCACCCTGACCAATGGCCTGGACAGAATGGAACCTGATAGAGCATTTCCACTGGGGAACCCTGCCAGCTGAGGGTTAGGTCTGTTACTTCTTTAACACGGGTTTGATCCCAAGGCAATGGGAGTGTTTCCATCAACTTTAGTGGACTTTGGATCAAGCCCTTGATCCTTAAAACAACATCAGCTGGTGGATTTATGACCTACATCTGGCCTGAATAAAATGTATTCTCCTCGGATTGAGAGTCCTACTGGATTCTAGAGAGATTTGTGTGGGGGCTTGGGGTTCTGCAAGAGTCACCCCAAGCTCCCGCTCTCCCTGTGTTTTGAGCTGCCCCTGCTGGCTGTGCAGTAGAAGTTCAGAAGAGCTGAACTGGCATCCTCAGGCACAGCTGTGTTGGCCGGCTTGGGCATTTAGAAACTGGCACTGTTAGCAGTACCCGAGTCATGGTGTGAACTGTGCTGCAGAGGGAACCTGGAGGAGGAGCAGTCAGCCCTGGGTGGGAGGGGATGGGTTTTCAAAAACAATGCAGTGGTTTTTTTTTTTTTAAAAGAATGATAAAGCTGCCTTTTGTTTAAACCTAAGGGTGGGAATCAACCCCTGTCCTGAGCCTTGCACGGCACAGACCCCTTGGTATGAGACTCAGGGCATGTCTGCATGGGGACACTCAGGAAAGTTATTCTAAATTAGCTTTTAAAGTGTGTTAGTTAAACCACATTAACTCCCTGTGTGGACACACACGTTCAGAATTAAAGTGGCCTTTAATTTGGTTTATCTTAATTCACTTTAAACAAAACCTAATTAAGACCACTCTAATTCTGAATGAGTCCACATGGGGATTTATTTTAATTCATTTTAAATTAATTCCTTTTGGTAATTTGGATTAACGTTGCTGAGTGCCACTGTGTAGACACTAAGGTCAAGATCCTGAAAGGTATTTTGGTGCCTAACTTCTATTGGTTTCACTGGGCGTTAGACGCCTAGGAGGATCCAGACCTAACTCAGTAGTGCCAAGGCTGTGCCTTGCCCAGTCCATGGAGAAGCAGTGGGCTGGCTCTGGGACTGGAAGTGCATTGCCCTGCATTATGGCCATATTGAAAAGAACAGGGTCTCCCATTTTGCAGAGTCTGGTCCATTCCAAAGGGGCGAAGAGGCTCCACTATCTGGTCTGGGCAGCAGTTATCCCATTCCTTCTGGGGGATGGGCTCAGTGACCCAACAGGGATGGAATTTCCTTGGCTAGCTCATCCTGCTCCATCCCTACTCGCTCTCTCTGCCAGAGCTCCTTCCTCTGAAGAGGGGTTCTTCTCTTACTCCTCCCACATGGCTCTTGTGATTCCCCTCTCCCCTTCTCCAGTACAGGAAAGGCCTCTCTTGGGGGGCACTGATTTCCCATCCCTCTCTCATCCTCTTGCACAGGTGCAAGCGGGGTAGGTCGTAGCCACATTAAGAATGCCCTGCTCAGCAAGAACCCGGAGAAGTTTGGGTATCCAGCTCCATGTAAGTAGTCACCCATAGTGGGGTCGAGCTCTACCCGCCCCCAGTGCCTGTGTCAGCAACCAGAACTAGCCATTTTAAAGCCCTAGGAAGGCCAGCTTCCCAGCACTCACTCCTAGCCTTACCTGCATAGAGCTGGGGGGGGGGGTTAGGTGCAGAAAAGCTGTTTCAGAGAATGTTCAGAGATTGTTCCAACTCCCTCTGAGCCCTGCACAGTTTGGGTTCATGGTCACTGAGCACCTGGCGTTACCGGGGGAGGGTTACCAAAAATAGTCCCTGTTTTAAAAGAAAAAAAAAAAAAAAAGATAGGGAAGCTCTAGCCATTCTGTACTGTCCGTGGTGCATGCAGAACCCCTGTGGGGATGAGGTGGCAGGAAGATGTGATAGATGCTCCTTTGGAGTGACTCACGAGAGTAACGGGACCACCCCAAATGCCGTCAGAGAATGTCTCAGCCCCATGTGTTCATAGATACAGGAGTGCACAACCTCAGTTCAATCAGCCTTGAAATCAGACACGAGCTCCTGCCACTGGACATTTCAGTGACCCACCACATTGGGTGAGGTTTTTTTGGTCTGTTTTGCTAGTGTTGCTAAAGTGGCTCTGGAGGTTGCCCAAAGTCATGTTTAGGGAAGATGATGTAGTCCCACAGGGTGCATGCTGGGTAAATGGGGCCTGCCTCGACCAAGGCAGCAGTGTCTCCAGCACACTTGTACTTTCCAGCAAGATGGCAGCTTGTCTGTCCTGGAGGCATGTTTCCTTGCCATCGGTGAATGCAATTGGGCTCAGATTACCCCATGTTCCTGCCATAACTCCTGAGCAGCGCCAGTGCTGAAAACATGGCAAGGCCAGCTGGAGAAGAGCACATCCAGCCAGGCCCATGCTGGGAATGGCCTGGTGTGCACGCAAAGGCTGGTGGAGGTTGCTTTCATTGGGGTATCTTGGCCAGCGGCGGAGAAATAGAAGAAGAGGTGCCAGGAGCCTGGCCTCAGAACTGGTAGATCAGTGTTTTCCCTTGGCTTTAAAGGACACCATCAACATGAAACCTAGTCAGTTTCAAAGCAGGCCTCATAGGTCTTGCTGGGCCTGATTTTTGTTGCCAAAACTGTTTTGGGCTGGCAAAGAGTTTACAGTCCAGTCCAGTCCAGGCTCTAATGTGAGCCCTTGTTCCCAAGTGATGCTGCTTTCAGTGACCTTGGCTGGCCATATTCATCACTAGGGGCAGGGCTTGGTGGCCCTTGACATAGGCAAGGAGGTCAAGAGGCAGGAATGCTCCAGATCCTCTCACCTGAGCAACAGTCAAGGCACTACAGGCAGCAAATCCATGCTCTGCCCACCCTTGTTCTGAGCAGCAAAGGGTTAAAGCTGATAGAGGCCCTGCCTCTCTTCACCAAGTGCTCACTTCCTCTGACTCCCCCCTCCTGGCCTTCCTAGGGCCCAGCTTGGGAACACGTGAGGGCTTCCTATGGTGCAGAGTGGCACAGCAGCCACTCTCTCCACAGCCTTCCTGCTCAGTGGTCATGTTGGCCCAAGCTAGCTGGCCCCTTTGGTTCCCTTGTGAGGTGGCAGCACAGGTCAGTCACCCAGCTCTCTCGCCCATTCAGACACCACACGTCCCCAGAAGAAGAACGAAGTGGACGGGAAGGACTATCACTTCATCTCCACTGAGGAGATGACCAGGGACATCTCCACCAATGAGTTCCTGGAGTTTGGGAGCTACCAGGGAAACATATTTGGCACCAAGTTTGAAACAGTGCATCAGATCCACCAGCAGGATAAAATCGCCATCCTAGACATTGAGCCCCAGGTGAGGGTGAGGGATGGGGGCAGCGTGTTAGGGGTCAGAGTTGGAAAAAGTACCTCTAAAATTTTCGGGGGCAGCTTTGCACCCACATTTAACTGCACTTGCAATTGGGGGTGCAAAAGAGGATTTATCCCTCTGTCTTCCCAACTGTGCCCACCAGTTGCGCAGGCAGAACGCTGGGGCCCGTCACTTGCGGGCATGATGTTAGTGGCTGGGTGCAAAATGTATCCTTTAAAGCATAACCCAAGCTGGGGCTGGGTGAAAAGGCAAGGCAGTGAAAGAGCAGGCCATTTGGCTAGGAGAGTGGGGCACTGTAGAGGGCAACTGAGCTGGACTGAGCTATGCACCTGCCAGTAGCCAGGGGGAAAGGGCACGGAGGGAGGAAAATTAAACACAAGAGATAAAACCAATGGATGGACTCCACCTAGTGCCCCCGTACTGGGCAGATACCTTGGGCGAGACTGCTGCTGATGGCCCCACACCTTCCTGCTGCACAGGTATTCCAGGGAGCACCCGCCTCCTAGAAGGGGAGCATAAAGGCAGATGGCAAAGCTGCCATGGGATTGGCATATCCATCCCCAGGGCGCCCGTGGAAAGGGCAGGGGAGTCTGCGCCTCAACTTGGCGACTTACTGCCTTCAGCTAATGACGAGGGTATGGAGGCAAACCTCTCCCCTCAGTGAGAGCTGACCGTCCCAGCCCTTAATGATGATGGCTGTTCTGTGGGTCCCTTAGAACTTTCCAATGGGATGAGAGAGGATAATTACAGCTGCGGAGGTCACCAGCTGCTGGCCTGCAGCGGTAGATTGCACTAGTTCTGATCTGCCTTCAGGTGTCACTATTTCAGATCGGCACTGTCTAGCTAGCAGAACATCAGCTGCTCCTGCAGCCAAGGGCCAGCATCCCCGTGGCAGCTTCTGAAAGGGTGCAGCTGGAATCCTTTGCTGCATCCCAAGCTAAGGATTTTTAAAGTGAATTTATACTTAGCTGATGTGACAGGCCTGAAGCCCAAAGACCTCTGGCAGCAGCAGTGCAAGCTGTCCGCAGCCCCACAGAGCCAGCCTTTGACCCACCTCTCTGTGAGGCTGTGACATGGGCCTGTCCCTGGCAGACACCCAGGGTGTGATTTTCGGGGATCCTGGCCTCCAGCCGGGACCCAGCAGAGCTGGCAGCCCTCTGGAAGGCAGGAAGGGCCTTGCACTCTGCTCCTGACCCCTCTCTCTCCCTGACTCCCATCTGCAGACCCTGAAGATTGTGCGCACTGCCGAGCTGTCCCCATTCATTGTCTTCATCGCGCCAACAGACCAGGCCAATCAGGTGGGTGCCATGGTGTGGCGGGAGGTGGAGCGATTACACAGGTGTGTTCTCCCATACTCACTCCCCCACGCACGCTTGCCTCTTTGCACACACCCCCCGCTCCCCATTGTGGCTTGTGGCCGGGGGGATGAAGAGCCCTTTCCTCACAGTGGTGGGACCCCAAAGGTAGGGTCCACAGAGGTATTTAGGTGCCTAACTCCCAGTAACATCAGTGGGACTTAGGCACCTAAATATATTTGGGAATCTCACCCCCAAGCAATTGTTTCTGTTCCCTTTCCTCCCTGGGGACTTGTTCTCCTGTCCACTGTTCAGAAACTGGTGCTTGCCCCTTCCCTGTCGGGTGTCTGGGTTTTCCAGCCAGAGGAGTGGAGTTAATCTGCAATACCCCAAACTTAAACCTCCCTGAGATAAAGTGCAGAGCACCAGGTAACTCCAAAGCTGTGAGTGTGAGTGCGCTTCCCCCCTCACCCTCCCAGCTGGGGCCACAGCAGCTGTTTGTAAGGGGCTAGGGGCTGATTCCCCATTCAGGCTGGTGGCCACCTGGACTTGAACAAGAGACTTGGACACAGCTTCTTCCCCCTCAGCTAGTCGCCAGCACCATCCCCCCCCCCCCCCAGAACCCAGCAGGCCCCAATCTCCCCACTTCGCAAAAGGAATTCCTTAGGAGGTGAGATGAGGCAAACCTGCCCCTCCTCCAAGGCTGCTTCCCCTGCCCTTAGAGGGATTGTGGTGGCTGGAGGGAGTGAAACTGTCTAGCATGTGTGCTCTTCCATAGCTAGCGCCTGGCTGCCTCCAAGCCTAAAGGAATAGCGAAGGCAGCAAGACCTTCACCCCAGACAGCAGCATAGCTGGGGAGGGTGCCCCCTGCTACTTCATTCCCCTCCCGCACCAGAACTAGGGAGGGGAGGGCTGTCTCAGGACTGGAATTACAGGGGATGTGGCAGTGTGGGTGGGGGGGACTTTGCCAGCAGCTTCTCCCCAGCAACCCCTCTCCGTTCACGTATGAATCCCAGCTAAGCTGCTGAGTTTCCAATAGGCAAGGACACAAACCACCCCTCAAATGGCTCCTTAAGGGGCCCAGTCCCTGGCATTCATGGATTCTGACTTTGCCCTGCCTGGGGCTCGCCCTGCACAGGTCATTTCACTTCCCAGAGCCAAAGCGCTGTCAACTTGCAGCAGTTTCAAGCTGCAGAGACCTTCCTGCTGTCAGTGTGGCTCACGCTGATTAGACGGCAGCCAGCCAGCCCGAAACAGTAACACCTGGATCAGCTGCCCCTCTCCAGTCTCTGGTGCTGTGCAGCAGCCAAGTGACTGGTATTGTACGAGAGACTGGCTTAGGTGTGCCGCTGGATGGGTCCCTTTGTCCTGCCCTTGAACAGCAGATGTTCTCTTGATTATTTAGCTAACTGAGCTGCTGCCCTTTACCACTGAAGATGAAAGGGGGGTTTATGCAGCAATCTGTTCAGAAAGCGCTGGGATCCCAGGCTGCAGCTTGCAGCAGGCGCATGTCTTTCTAACCCACTTGGTTCACTCGTGGCCTGGCTAAGCTAACCCTTTGCTAAGCAGGGTGCCTGCATGGCAATGGCAGAGTAGAGCTGAGAAATTCCACACAGCTGGACACTGAAACCAGGGGGCGAGAGGAGCAGGGTGACCACATGTCCCATTTTGGCCAGGACAGGCCCCTTTTTAAACCCTGTCCCAGCTGTCCCAACTTTTTTGGCAAAACTGGGCATTTGTCCCGTTTGCTCTTGCCAACTGATCAAACTGGACAAATGCAATTTTGCCAAAAAGGTGGGGTGTGACCCCCTAGCGGGGAATGGAGGAACATACAGGGGGTGAGTGGTAATGCCAGCCCTGCGCGGTACGGGGGACTCAGGCTGGCCTGCGTGGGGGATGGGGAGTGAAGGGGGCCCTTGGGGTAGCCCTGTGGGGTGTCCCATTTTCCCTTTGTTTACTCTCTAGAGGAGTAAACAAGCCCTGGAAGCCCTGCCTGAACTCAGTCTTGGCCAGGACCCCTGCTCCATGCTCTTGGACAGGGCTGGCTCAGTCAGTCAACCTGTAGCTGGGGATTAGGTTGCAGACAATTTGATCAGGAGGCTGTAACAGGTGGAGGGTTTATGTAGCCTTTGAATGAAGTGCCACCCGCAAACTGATTAGTCTGTGTTTATGAAGTGCTGTCCAATGGAAGGTGTTATGTAAGGGCTAACTATTGTGCTATCTGAAAAAGTTGTGGGCCAGCTGGCTCCATGGGCCTGCAACCCCATGCACCCACTGCAGTTGCTGAAGGTGCCAGTGTGAAGCAAGGCTGAGCTATTATTGATAAAAACTGTCTTCTGCCGCAGGGGACAGGCCCGGGTGGTGAAGCAAATGCTATATTTAGCCTGCTTTCACAGTTCAGGTAACTGCTTAGTAAGTCAAGGGCAATGGCCAAAATATGACCTCCAGCAGCTCAGAGAGCAGGGGTATTTTTCCCCTCTAAATACGCTCTGGCTGCTGAACGCCACACAGAGAGCGGGGTGCAGGCTGCAGCAATTCACTGTTGCCCAGAGCTGAGCTCATGATGCTGGTAAACAGAACAGCCATGTTAATTTCAAGTGCTACTGGGGACAGAGATGAAAAAACAATGTTAGAGCGACTCAGAAAAACAACAAGGAGTCCGGTGGCACCTTAAAGACTAACAGATTTATTTGGGCATACGCTTTCGTGGGTAAAAAAGGGGAAGTTACTCACCTTGTGCAGTAACGATGGTTCTTCGAGATGTGTGTCCCTATGGGTGCTTCACTTTAGGTGTGCCCCTTCACCTCTAATTGGAGATTTTTGGTAGCAGTGTTCCATTGAGCCTGCACATGTGCTCTCCCTCCCTAGCACGGGTGAACCTCCCTCACTTCCTTCTCTACCACAGAGCCCTATAGAGAACTCCGAAGTAGAGGGGAGGAGGGTGGGTTGTGGAGCACCCATACAGGGACACATCTCAAAGAACTATTGTTACTGCACAAGGTGAGTAACTTCCTCTTCTTCGAGTAGTGTCCCTATGGGTGCTCCACTTCAGGTGACTCCCGAGCAGTACCCACCACTGGAGGCTGGGACTTCAGAGTCGAGTCTTTTACTACAGAGAGTACTGCGGAGTCGAAGATGGTGTCAGTGGCCAAATCTTCAATGATCGCATAATGTTCTGTGAAAGTACGGGCAGAGGCTCAAGTCATTGCTCTATAGATTGCTGAGATAGGGGTATCCCTAAGGAATGTGATTGAGGTAGAAACTGACCTCGTGGAGTGCTTATGGACTCTGGACGGAAGCAAGTTGTGTCCTTGATAAGTGATTAATGCAACTAGAGACCCATTTGGATAGTCTTTGAGGCAATATCACAGAACTTTTGGATCTTTCTGTGGACAAAAGGAAGAGTTTAGGGGATTTCCTGAAGTCCTGAGTCCTGTCCAAGTAGAATGCTAATGTCTTTCTAATATCTAGTATATGCACAATTGTCTCCCAGTTGTCGCTATGTGGTTTTGGGAAAAAACAGGGAGATGGATCTGTTGATTGTTCACGTCCATTCCACATTAGGTGTGCGCATGCTGCGTGCATGAGCGTCAGAAACTTTTTCTCTTAGCGGCTCCCGGCGGGGCTCCCCAAGTGGCACCACTGCGCCGTACATATATACCCCTGCCGGCCTGACCCCCTCCAGTTCCTTCTTATCGTCCATGGCGGCGTTGGAACAACCTCTCTCTCTCTCTCTCTCTCTCTCTCTCAGAAGATCAGTCCCTTAGCCTTTTCAGAGTAGCTGTTATCAGTTAGTTAACATACCTTGATGGTGGTCACTTAAGTGATTTAGGTGCTTGGAGGTTTCCAGCACCTCGCCGCAGGGCATGCCACAGGCCCATGGCTTCAAGGCTTGCGCCACGTGCCACAAACCTATGCCAGTTAGTGACCCCCATGACTCGTGTCTATGTTGCCTGGGGGACGAACATCAAACTGAGCGGTGTAGGATTTGCAAGGCATTTAAGCCAAGAACAAGGAAAGAAAGAGACTTTCATTTAAAGCAGCTGTTGATGGAGGCTGCATTGCAGCCACCGGGCCCGAAGCACCCGACTCTAGCTCAGGCTTCCTCGGTGCGTAGTGCCCCGGAGCTGTCGAGAGACCTGGCACTGGCTATGCACTGTAAACTGTCAGCCCCAGAGCGCCAGACTAGGCCCCGGCACTGCTCGTCCTCTCCGGTGCGGCCCCTGGCACAGCCAAAAGCAAGGTGCGGTCATTCCCCTCACAGGAGGCCAGCGCTGCCCAAGGCCCCGAGCGCTGACAAGAGCGGGAAGGCTGCGGTACTGGTGCTGACACTGGCGGTCCCGGCAGCACAAGCCCCCCCGAGCCCAGACCTAAGTGAGCTCAGTGCAGACGATGGGCTCGAGGGCATAACGGATCAGCCCTCCACGCCTGGCCCCTTTGAGGCTGCAAAGGATCTCATTGAGCTGTCAGTGGCGAGCCCACTCCCGCATAGAGAGAACCCTCCAGCACCCATGCCGCGGGTGCCATTGAGGGGTAAGCTGGCAATAGTGTGTCGCTTGAGGACACTGTCCCGGCACCGCTCCCAGAGTTGGTCCCGGTCGAGCTCCGACTCCGTGGACTCATTTACCAGCAGCCTAGAAGGAAGTCGCAGCACTGGGAGTGGTTCGCGCGAGGAAGCACCGGAAAGGGCACACCGCTCTCTGGCACCACCCAGAGACTGGCACCGGGAGGAATTGAAACGGCCCTCGCCAGAGGACTCCCACAGACGGTCCCGGTTCAGGGAACGAGCACTGGCACTGGTCCTGGTCCCGGGGATACCGGTACTGCTCCCGCTCAGCCAGGAGCTGCTCGTTCTCCTGCCGGCGCAGATCGTTGGCACCGCTATGGTCGTCGCGATTGGCATTACTACAGTCTGGCGCCGACTCAGGCCGCTATAGCTACCACACCGGGCCCTGGACAGCAGGGACCCTCAGGTGGGCTAGCAACCCCAATGGGGGCCGCCA